GACATACAAATACACATCTTGAGGTCACTAATTCTCGAAAAGTGTTTCTTTTTTTACAAAAAAAATTGCATAATTGAGAACTACATTAGTTTTTTATGTATTCAATAAGTATTTGAGTTTTAAAAACAAGCGAGAATCGCTTATTTATAAAATTCAAAATAATAATCGTATTCAAAAAGAGTTGTGAGACACTGGCAGCAAACAGGTGTATCGTCGCGCTACATTAGAGGTCATTTATAAATTACGTAGCGCAAAAGACGGGGGAGGGGGGTCTGAGGCAGCGTTACGCTGCGTTACATAGGGGTAGGGGGCATTAGTTAAATGTTACGTAAAATTGACTTTTTAAAATTTTTCAACATTTACTGAAATAAAATAGATATAAATTGTTACAATAAATTTAAAAAATCACCCTTTTTAAATCTGTAAGATTACGAACAAAATAATCAAAATTGATATGAAGTATATTCTACAATCTATTTAAATTGGCGCTGTAGACTCTCACTTATATGTCAACCACGCCGGCGTGTGCATAGCTTGTGAACAACTATTTCTCGCGAAAGCATTCTTCCTTCACTCACAACTTTCCGCAGTCTTTTTGTTAGGTGCTGTCAGTATTGCCAAGTAATTTCTATTTTAATTATCATAAATTACTTTAATATACAACACAAATAAAATAAATACAAATTGTTTTTGCCGTGACATTATTTATTTTCACTTCTTGTATTTACAAGGAGGGATGGTTGCTACGTACTTATTTATGGGGGGTTCTAGCGCGCGTTACGGGTGCGTTACAAAGCGAAAATGGGGTATTGAAAACTCTCCAAATATGCGTTACGTAATTTACATTTTACACTCTTACTACATATTGAAAAATTAGTTTTATCTTTATCGCAAGCGTCGAAGGAACTCGTCAACGTATTCGCATTTCACAATTCAAATAGATTTCTGGTCAACTTGAAAATCTGTAACGAAGCGATTTGTCCGTAACAGTAATTTCGTAAACAACTTCGATAGAAATTGTGTGTGCGAAGCAAATGAAACACAGTCTGTTTTGTAGATTCTCCACTTGTGCGGTAAGAAACCACTTGATTGTTAATTGAAGGTGTCACAAAGACCCAAGCGCAAAAGTTTTAAGTTTATTAATTTCCATGTTAGTATCTATTGATGAGTATTTATCAGATGACACGTCATTCCCTCCTATCGTGTTTACCCCCCCCCCCTACACCGCATTTGTTCCCTCTTTTATTCCTTCTCGCCCTACATCTAACCTTCAATTGCGTTTCACTAAGTGTACGGTGTTATCTACTTTAACAATCACTGCAAGTGCAGTATCGTCAACGTAAATTTGGAACTCGTAGGTTTTTAGTTAAATTATCTTTGCCTAAAATTCGAGTTACGAAGATTTCATCGCCTAATGATGACACATGCATACAGTCTTCTTAAAATTTCTAAGGGATTGACAGTACCGAGGGGAGAGTGCTCCATTTTCCAATCGGAAGCTTCAATTACGGATAATGTGTGACAAAACTTATTGTCTTTTAAGGTTTGTCAAAGATAGAAAAATAGAAAAACATGTGATAGCTCCAGCGCGAGTCACACTCGAGAATCACCCCGCGCAACACCCCTGGTAGTGTTATCTCCTATGGTGTTGTCATCGATTACGAGTCAAGACATTCGCCACGATTACATCCGATGACTTTTTGATTCACTGCCGTCACAAATGAGAGAGTTCAAAGTCACTAAACCTGGTACGAAAATTGAACACTAACTTGGCTGGTTAATTTCAGAAAAGGGTAAATACTCGTCATTTTAATAAATGTTACTTCATTATCATCTGCACGCAAGTTGATATTTATCCGATAAACACTTTCCATTTTCGCTTGGGTAGATCAAGACCGACTACAATTGAAATAACAAAGGTGTTTAAGTAGGTAAACCTAGTGGGTCTTATATTATATCCTTTTGCGGATAAAACCACCTTCAAGACTGGACGGTTTGTCGTAAAAAGTAGCTCCTGGCATTCCATTACATATCGGGTTTCCTAGCCTCCGCTTCCCCTCTGTTGAGGGCTCATTCTTTGTGATGGCTCTGAGCCCTCTCTCCGGGCGATTCCCCTTTCAGTGCCGGCACAAAAGCACCGGTAGCCACCCGCATCAGGGCCCTGTGGCCTCTAGCCGCGGCCCAGGCGCTGCTCCACGACAGTGTAGGCTCAACGAGCGGTAATGGACGGCGAAGACGTCCAAGCGGGTGAGAAAGAGGCTAATTTCGCCAGTCAACTTAGTATTGTGCCAGAAGAATTTAAGGCTTAAATGGAGGAAACAAAGTTTTACGGATTATACCAAATACAATACACAAATCTTTTCAACTTCTTTCTAAAACCGACCGATGAGGGATACGCGAATGGAGTAAAAAATAGAAGATTGGAAACTCTTATAAATTCTGGAGCCGTTTGTCAAAGTAGTTCATCAAAATCAATGAACATAAGTACTCATTTGGGTTAGCGACAACTCGTGTTTGGAATATTGGGATATTATTGGAATATTTCACGTATTGTAATATTGGAATTTTTGCCTAGTATACAGTTGGTTGATGTCGGCATCTGCGGCAGGTTTTTGTAAAATCTGTGTGCGAGATAAACTATTCGTTTTTACCTTCTCGCCTTACGAATTCTTAAGAAGAGAAAGTCATACAATGGTGCGCCTGAAAACGTCCAATTTTCTCAAGAAAATCTCTTTTTGTCGGGCTCAGGTAACGTAACGGTGAATAAATCCTGTTGCTTAATTTTTTTTAAAAAAATCCTCTAACACGTGGTGTAGCCAGAATCCATGATTTGTTGGTTCTTGATATACCGGAAAAGTGATTGACGGCAAAACGTCAGTCTATCCGTTTGTCTGTCTGTCAGTCTGCGCCTAAACCGCTCAGCTGATTTTCTTCATCATTGATATTCCCTGATTGATCTTAACAGACTGGATGCTAACGGATATTTTGATTGTTGAAGGTTTTTTATAAGAATCGTGTATGTACCTTTT